GACCTTTGACGAAAATCTCCACGGCGACACCAAAGAGGCCATCAGGGGAGACAGGCGCGTACGGAAGCCGAAATTGTTCCTCGGGACGCATTGAAGCCTGCTGTAACCACAGATGGCGTTCCTGGACCACAAGCGTGGACATCGTGTGACCGATGTTCAGCACAAGGTGACAAATCAGCGGCTGAAAGCGAGTCTCAGAGAGACTGCTGGTCACCACCACCCTGTTGCAAGTCACGGAGGACCTGTAAGGTCGCCATAGCATGCAATGATGCAGCAGATTTACCCGCAGCTGAATAAGCTCTCATCATCAGGGCTGACGAAAACCTCCCAGCTTTGGCGGGAACACCCGAACGAGACCGCCAAGCAGCAGCGCTGTCAGGGTAAGCACCGCGACAACTTGCCCACTCAGGGAATCGAAGAGTAGCCCGTATCTGCTGCATTGACCAGAGTGGTGAAGAGGGAGGAGCTCAATCCCCTGACAGGCAGGGGAGCCCGCCAGAATTAGTGAGCTCCTCTTGCTTCTCGGGGAGAAAAGGCACTAGCGGTATGCCGGGAACCTGTCCCGGCGCCTGCCTAGCCACCAATTCTCCAGCCGCGACAGCATCGAATCGGGGGGGTGGAGTCACTTCCCGCCGATCGAGGCTGCGGCTGTGAGAGCACCGCGAACGCCTCTGGCTCCAGCTCGGCTGCAATCCCGGAGGAGGCAGCTGAACTGGAGAACCGAAAGCCGCGCCCCTTCCGATGCCCCTTCAGATGCCCTTCCTGATGTCGGTGTGCTGGAAACCAAACACATCGCGCAACTCCCGTGACCGTCTATTCGACGAGAAAGCCCACAACAGCCAGGAATAGTGCACGTTTTGCTCATCGTGTCGTGAAAAATGTACAGGATTCTGAGAAAATGGCGGAAACACACTGGACAGGCTTGCTAGAAAGATCTGAGGCGCTGGCGTGGTGGCATGCTATTCTGCACTAGCAGAGGACAACACCAATAAGCCAAGGTAAGCAACCTAGTAATCTTTCAAGCTGGGTAGCGTCAAAGTTAGGAGAGAGAGTCACACTCAGTCAGCTCAGAAGGAAAATTGCATACTGGTAGCGTAGGCACGCCCCGCTTTATACCCCGCTGATTGCTAATCAATCACCTACGCCTGCAAATTAATTTGCCCGTTGATATGTTCGGCAGTCGCTCCCACGGTGATTCGCTCCCATTCAGTCGGTCTAATACCGACTAACGTCTCCGGGACCGACTGAAAGGGAACGGATTTGCATATTCATGAAGTGTATGCAAAGTTCTTTCATATGGAGCGATCGATGTCTTTTAAGGCTAGCTGCATCGATAGACGTTGTAATGGCATTTGGAGGACACGTTATACCTGAATCTCAATCAGTCAGCGAATCGCAGTCATGTAGTGTGAAATGTGGTCTGGCTGAAATAATGTCTGTGATCGCCTATGAGAGAAACACATCCAGGGAGGAGTTAGACGGCAATATAAACAGTGGTTTAAATAAAAAAATGTTGGGCTCACATTTCTGATAATAATCCCGGTCTTGCATTTCAGTTAGGCGCACATGAACCTGCTCTGTTTTTAAAACAATTCTCGAGAGTGTTTGATTGCGAGACGCACTTTTAGAACAAGGACATCACAGTGTGTAGGACAAGAACAATCACTTCCAAGGGAAAGAAATCAGCAATGGAACTCGTGTAACAGCGTCAAAAACCATGTTTGGACTTTGATTCAATCTACTTTTATAATCACTATAAAAGACACAAGACTGGCTCAACATGGCATGACTCTTTAAATACATTAGTAAAGATGGCTAAACTGAAATATCAACTATTCCCACATGTTTTAAAAGTGTTTTTACACAAAATCATTTAGTTTTCCAGTTTGGTATTTGCTGAAGTCAAGATGGGCACTGGCCATTTCTTTGGGATTGTGGTTTGGAAATTGCTTTGACTAATCCAGGACCTTAAATTGCTTCTGTGAATGTGTTGTGCTTACTTTGTCCATGTCCAGCATTGTTAAAGGGAGAGAAAACAGTCCAAGTCAGTCTCTGAGCTTCCTGTACTTTTTCTGGTTACATTGCCAAATTTAGGCTGATTTTAAGGATGAACCGGGTCTTGGAGCCTTGTGTGATTTTTCTTGTTAAATAACTTTATTTGAGGTATTCTTGGCTAAAAAAAGTTGATCCTGGACATTTTTTCCAAGCTTTCAAGATTAGTACAGCCTTTTCAAGTTTTTGAATAGAAGTTGGGCTTAAAAACGTTAATACCCCTCTAAATTATTTAAATCCATCCAAGGTTAATAGGTTATCACAAATTTCTGATGTTAAAAATACTGAATATAATTAATTCAGAAAATTCTCTATGATAGAGAATTTTCGAGTGAAGCTATTAAGCATTTTCTGGTCAAAACATATTTTGGGTTTGGCAAGTTGCAGACGGACTCTAAAGCCGGCATGTACTGCAGTTGTCAGAGCAGTTCACACTGAAGGACTGTCTGGAGCAGCATTCAGTCGCTACTGATTTCATTCTGCACAATCGATTGGCAGCAGAGGATTTTACACTGCATGACTTTAGACAGAATCGCAGAGAACTTTGTCCATTTCTCAAACTGTGTCTTGCAATCAAACACTAGTGAGAAATGTTTTGAAAACTGCGGAAGGTCATGTGTATCACACTGAAACACAAGACTAGAATTATTATGAAAAATGGGAGTGTGCAAGTTAAAAACATTTTCTGTCCAAATAGACTGAAAATATTGCTATCAGTGCCTTTGCATCTCCTCACATTTCCATGGATGTGGCTCTATCATTGGCAAGAGTTTGAAGTAACTGTCTCCTAAAATGTTTATTAATGCAATGTTGGTTGTTTTTCTATTATTAATCTGTTATTTATGCAATTTTAAATAGGAAACTCATTAACCAACAGTGTTGGATGCCAACAGAAACACTACTCTCTGCCTCAACCGTGCTCTATCATAAGCTCACACTCTTTAGAAACACTTTTTATACTTTAAAAAAGTAAAACCTTAAATTGAAACGGACATTTAATTAATTTTTGTTATTATTATCTTTATTATTTAGGACAAATGAATTTTCTGTTACATTTAATTGTGGGTAAAACTGTTTAATTTCTACCTTTGTTTGGGATTTTGTAGTGTCTTTGTCCTATAAGACGTCTATGACGCATCTATATTTAATTATTCATGAGCCTAACCTCTATTATCCTATGAGATATTAATTATTAATGACCGTGCAGTAGTTTGGAGTTCCGGATGGTTCGCAATTGTTGTTCGCAAACTGCTGAGGTAATACGTGGCTTTCCCGGTGATTATTGTTAGGCACTTCACTTTGATATTTGTTATCGAAAGCCAAGCCACACCCAGACCTCCACCTATTCTGTCCAGCAGTACATGCCCATTTTTCCACATTTTTTTTGAAAATGTTCTCATGCAGATTTGACATGAAACAGGCGTCGCTCATGGCATTTAATTTATTTAACTTTCTAATCATTCCACTGCTTGCGTATTTTCTTGTCTAATTACACACTAATGTTCTCCTTTTTATATATAAGCACTGGAAAAAAAGTCTTTTGCACCAATCTGAAATGTAGAAGACATATTCAAGTGAGAATGAACAAATCTTGAGAAATAACTTAACAATACAAGCAAATAAACAGTGAAAACCACATAATAGTCATGACCCCTAGGTGGCGCTAATTAGATTTCATTTTGTTTTGGGCAAGATTGTGGTCAATTATGTCAAAAGTGATTTAAAAAAAAATAAAAATACTATATTGGTAAATGTAGCATTCCCTGTGACCACCTGGTGACTATAACCAAGAGGGTATGTTGTAGATGTGTTCAGACATGAGCTGTTACTAAAGTTGGAAATTTGGGGACCGAAGTTATAACAACGCACCCTTTATGACCAAATGTCGACTTTCAACGGCCACTGAGCGTAGATAGTTTAACAAAGTCAAAAAAGCTTCACAATTTTACATTTGACATACCTTGAGATAAGACTGATGGGGTTTTGAGGAGTTTGTATGAGACATGCAAAAGTGCAATTTATTTTTTTACAAACTATTTGGTGATCAAATAAAATCTTTAGGAGGAGTTGTTAAATTGTTAAAGTACAATGCCTGGAATTGTACTAAATTTAACTTTGGAAACTTGCTCCAATGGACTACTTGCACGTAGACTCTTGACGTACTTCCACCTCAAATTACTAGCGTTCATTAAGTTCCGGTTTGTAGTCTATTGTATTAGAGTGTGGAGAAAACATTTTTTTTATTTTTGGAATTTTACATTTTGATAGACAGAGACAGATTTTGTCCTATCAACCAAGAACACAGTAGTAATAATGCAAATAGTCAATTGACTTTTTTTGTAGGCTTGCTTCCTAAGTATGGCCCAAAAGTGTTCCAAATAGCTTTATAAAACTTCAAATAATGGGATATTTTATGTTGCCACTATGTTGAATGGCTGAGTTCATGTCGATGTCAAATTTTAGACTTTGATGGCCATTGTGCTCATATAGTTTAACCACATTTAAAAAGCTTAGCAAATTAACATCCTTTGTGTCTTAATATAAGACTGATGGAGTTTGGAGGTGAACAGATAAAATCTGGAGTAGTTCGTTGAAGTATGACATGACCAAATGTGGGGATTTTTAGGGGTGCTTGCAAAATTGCTGATCTTCTGTTGATGCAATACATATCAGTCATATTTCAGTCTTGGTACATTACACATGTCTGCCAAATTTCGTTTGCATATGACAAAAAGAAAGTGCAACACAAGCTAAAAATGCATTATGTGGTACTGTAGAGCCAATTTGCCACACCCACTTTTCAAACCACAATCAGACATTCTGACATGTCTGTGAAAATCATCGATTTTTCAAGCATGTTTAAATTACAATAAGGCTGAGACCCAACTAGATGTGTTTATATCTATACATTTAGCAGATACAAATTGCATTTCAAGAGCTGAACTCATTTCTTTACCTGGGGTTTGAACCCATGATCTGTGCTTGGCTGGCATAGTGCTCTACCGACTGAGCCAAAGAAGACCCATTGTATTTATCATTTTATTGAAGCATTACCTAAAGCATACATCATATCTTTTGGTGCAAGCTCATTGTAGAAGACTGAATTGTTTTTGTCTTTCAATACAGACAGCTATGCAAGTACTGATGAAGAATGGCAGAAAGTCATAAAGTTATCTTCTGTTATTATACTGCTCAAACCTTTAAAACGACCCCTTGTTCATCAGAAAAGAGAACTGATGTTGTTCTTCACAGCTTACAGTGACCTCAGCGGATAGGCAAACCCAGACCCTGATGATTTATGTTTAGTGTCGAGTGGAAGTTAAAACTTTCATGGCCTGAGTTTTTGATGAGTGCAGAGAAATGCGTGAAGCATCAGAGAGACTGAATTCATGAATATATAAATAAATCACATTTGTCAAAACACAAGCAACCGAAAGACCTAATCCAAGGAATAAGAACCCAGTCTCATGGTAAATTAAAAAAAAATGTTTAATGAGCAGAAAATTATTTGACAGGAAACTAACTGTAAAAACCATTAATACTATTTTAATCAATTTTTATTGTTTATTTATTACTCCTTGTCAAATAAATATACAATTATTCCGTTTTGATAATTAAAATTTTTATTAAAAAGACTGCAGTGGAGAAATCTCATTTTAGAAACCAATTTCCAAGGTCAAGACAAAATGTTTTGACCACAGATGAGAATAGGAACAAATTCACTGGTAAATTGAGAGCTATACCTTTTCACTTAACTTAGGTGTCTGATGTAAAATGATTACCCCTGAATGACAAAAACTCATTAATAATTTCAGTTTTCTCCTGGGGCCTGTACCATGAATGTGCGTGAACACATATTACTGAATTGGGTTCGGGGGGAAAAGTGGCCAGGAGATCACAAGAGGGCAGAGAAGGAGGCCGCACCAGGCGCAGCGGAGCCACCCCACCCCGGCCACAACCCGGCCCCGCACTAACCCCGACCAGCAGCCTCAGACCCCTCCCCCAGTCATCCATCCATCATTCCATCCATACACTCATTCATACTCTAAGGGCGGTCAGTCACTGTCCAGTGGACCTGCGCCCACCCGGGGATCCCCCGAGCCCGCGCTGACAGAGGGCGCATACCCACCCCGGACGGAAGATGGAGATAGCCGCCCACCCACTACCTTTCATCTGCTCCCAGTTGGGGTGTAGTGTATGTGTTTGTGTATATGTTGAAGAGGTAAGTTCCATTAAAACTGGGGAGTGATGTCCTGGAGCATCACCGTTGGTTGACAGATGATGTCCAGGCACCACCCCCCATTCCCCATATGTAAAATAAGAGGGCAGTCTACTCCGCCCTAGAATTATGGGGGGGTGCCACAAATCTGCAGCCCCGCCCATCAGATCTGGACGAAGAGACTACCTCCAGGAGGCAGGCCCTTCTCTAGTGCCCTGGAGATGTTCAGTGTCTAATTGAATTAAAACTAGGGGTCCCCTGTCCTGGGGTAGGCCAGGGGGGCCCGATCAGTAATAGGCCGAACCCCCCAATCCCCCACAGAGAATTAGACCCCTGGGGTCCTATGTGTGGGAATGAAGGAAATGTACCGGGAGCCGATGCGGGCACCACGCCGACAAGCCACCTGCCCCCCGCCCCGGGGGACACGGGAGAGTCACCAAGGGGGGACGCGGGAATCCAGGCGGCAGCTGCCACCCTTCGGATCTCATCCATACACATTCGTTCGCACTCATCCACCCACCCTTACGCACACACATACACCCACGCACGCACACACGCATTAACGCCACCCCCACCCCCTGTACATGCACACACCAAGAACTGCTGGTTGCGTGTGCACAGAGTCAGCTGTACCTGAGGAGGAGACCCCGCCCACCCAGCGCGGACAGCCCCCAACCAGTCACAGAGCCACAGCATGGGGCGGACAGGCAGCCATGAAGGTAACAGCACCCGCGAGCACGAGCCCCAGAGGCCCCCCCCCACACCGCCCGAGAGGCCAATCCGGCCACACCGAGCACACCGACCCACCCCCCCACCCCGCCGCCCGGGCACCCCCGAACCACAGAGCCCCCCGCAGAAGCAGCCGGCACCCCCGCAGGGCAAGAGCAGTAGTACCCCCGGGGGACAGGACCACAAACTACATGCCATCCCTGAGGAGAGGGCAGTCCCACCTGAAGCACACCCATCCAAAAGCAGGAACCGGTCATCTGTTGAGATCCTCTAACTAAGATTCAGAGGAATAGGGGCATTAATAAGAAGTGACAAATATCAACTATTTATGTGAAGGCAGACAACGTTTCCGGGATGATAGTTTAATAAGATGTTATATTGAATGATGCTTAGTTTCTATTTAGTTTTCCAGTTCATAAGAATAGTTTTCTTTGCTACAAGCATAGCGGTGAGAATTAATAGTTATGTGTTAGCCTCGAGTTCTAACCGTGTACTGTCTAGGTCACCCAATAAGCACAGTGCAGGAGTTGGTGAAATGAGGTGGTTAACCCATGATGTTAGCTGACAGCAGACTTCTTGCCAGAATTTTTGCACTGGTGTACAAGACCAAAGAGCATTTAGATAGTGGTCAACTGTATTGTTAGTGCAGTGTTTGGAACAGTCTTTGACCTCTGTAGTGAGTTTGGTGAAGTATTTTATACTGTATTAGTTGTAAATTTGGGTTTGTAGATGCTTTAAACGTGTTTACGCATATCCGGTTCCAGAATGATTGATTTTCATTGACAGATAACTCTTCGCTCCACTTAGTAGTGGGGAGACATACTATATTGTCTGTTTTTAATAGTAAATTATAAATTTTGGATAGTAACCTCGGGGTTGTCAACCCAATAAATTGTTCAATTACTGTGGGTAGCTGCAGAGTCATGGGCTTATTGCATGTTGAAAAGATGATAGATTTGAGCTGTTGATATTATAGAAATTTGTTAGTCGGTAATCCATATTTAAGACCCAAATCTTCAAATGAATATATTTTGTTGTTGACAATTATATGTATAAGATGTGTTATTCCATTATTTTGCCAATTTGGGAAATATACTGCCCTTTTGTTTAGTAAGAAGTCTGGGTTGTTCCAAATTGGTGTGTGCTGGTAAGGAGATAGCGGTGAGCCCACTATATTAAGAAATTCCCACCAAGCTGTCAGTGAAGTACGTATGCTGATATTCTGAAAGCAGTAGTGATGTTGAATTTTAGAGCTATCTTAATGTCTTTGCAAAATGTCTGTTCAATGTCGTGCCAGGTGAGTTCTGTCGAATTAGAATTAATCCATTGGTGCACATGTTGCACTCTGTGACAGAGAAAATAATGATATACGTTTGGCAGCTCCAGGTCACCGCAGTCTTTGGATTTTCTGAGCTTGTGTCAGCTGATGCATGGAGGTTTGCCTTTCCATAGAAATCTGGAGAAATGAGAGTCCCGGGACGGTTGGTTAGGAATCATTGATAACAGATAATTCATTCTGGCCATGACCATCATTTTAATGCTGGCAACCCTTCCCATAAGTGAAATTGGCAAATGTTGCCATCTTTTGAGGTCATCCTCTATTTTTTTAAGTAGTGGTGAGTAATTTAGTTGTACCAGATCCGGCAGCCTGGGTGAGAATTCCATGCCCAGATATTTAATATTCCCCAAATTAAAAGTGGTGGAGAAGGAAGCTGCTGGAAGAGAGAGGTGTGGATGAAGGAGAAATAATAGCACATCATCTGCATAAAGACTTATTTTGTGATGTATATTTTTTGTACTTATTCCAGTAATTTTGCCTAATTGCTTGCCCAATGGTTCAATAAAAATAGCAAATAGTGAGGGAGAGAGTGGGCAGCCTTTTCTGGTTCCTCTTAGAAGGTTAAATCTAGATGAAGTTTGTTCATTTGTTCTAACTGGCGCATTCGCAGAGCTATATATAGTATTTGGATCCATTCTATAAAATCCAAATTTACGAAGTGTTGCCATTTGAAAGCCTGAAAGCTTTTTCTGCATCTAGAGAGATAATGGCAGATTCTAGACTTGTGTTGTTTGCTAGATCAATCAGGTTAATTACATATTATTTGTTGAGTGTCTACCCTTGATAAAACCTGTTTGGTCTGCATGAATAATATGAGGGGTAATTTTTTTCCAGCTTTTTAGAGATAGCTTTGCAGATTATTTTTAAGTCCACATTCATAAGAGAGATTGGTCTATAACTTGATGGCAGTGTGGGGTCCTTCCCTGGTTTTAGGAGTAAACTTATGAAAGCTGAGTTCATGTTTGATGGTACTTTTCCTTCAGACTTAATTTCAACTACCATTCTGCTAAAGGTAGGTTCCAGCACTTGCCAAAACTCTCTGTAGAACTCAGCTGGATAACCATCTGGCCCTGGTGCTTTTTTATTTGGCATTTGTTGTAGAGCCTCGTGGAGTTCTGTAGAAGATATTGGTGATTCTAAATTTCCTATCTGTTCGTTTGATAGTTTTGGTAATTCCAGATTCTTTAAGAATAATTCAATTTCAGTTGGCGATGGATTAATTTGAGATGTATATAGATTTTTATGAAATTCCCTGAAAGTATCATTAATGTCTTAGGGGGTCGTTAACAAGTTGTCCATTTTTGTTAATTACTGATGAGATAGTTTGTTTTTCCTGTTATTTTTTAGTAAGCCTGCTAAAAATTTGCCACACCCGTTAGCATGTTTGAGGTTATCCAGCCATAGTCTTTCGATTTGGAATTGAGTTTTTTATTGATTAGGATATTCAGTTCTAATTTAGTTTGCCTTAAATCTTTCAGGATGTTTTCTTGTGGGTTGTCTTTATAAGCAGTTTCAAGGGATTTAATTTTTAATTCTAATTCCTACTTTTTCCTAGTTTCTTGTTTTTTCTTGAATGATGAAAATGAAATTATTCTACCTCGCATTACTACTTTTGCAGTCTACCATAAAACACACGCTGAAATTTCTAAGGAGTCGTTAATTTACATAAAGGTTACCCATTCTTTTTTTAAATAATTTGTAAATTCCTGGTCTTTAGGTAATGATGTGTAAAGT